AGTTGAAACTCAATAACTTGAAACTCCATGAGTTGAATGCGTCCTCATGTCAAATTTCTCCAACTTCTTGGCTAAATTCTTCTATCAAGAAAATAAACCTCCGTTACTCAAAGACTTTCCCCTCAAAGCTACTCAAGTCAAATTTTCTAGAGACCTTTTGGCAATTATTTTATCGACACAGGAAAGAGAAAAACAATAAAAATGTCACTTGAGATGTTTTGAAAGGAAGTGAAAACCGAAGTGGGCGAATGAACCTTTGCCTCCACATTCAGCATGCTGTCAACTCATTTAAGAAGCAATTTAAGGCCTTGAATAGCACCAATTACAATTCCTGAAATTGTTTCTTTCCTTTTCATCAAGTGAAAAATCACTCGTTTCCACAATTGAAAACCGCACTATCTCAAATTTTTTGCTGGTCCCTCGAAATTTGACTTGAAGAGGTTTGACTCTGACTTTGATTTGCACATAAAAAAACAGCATAGAACAATTAATAAACAAACCTCTGGATCTAGAAGGATAAAGTACAAGAAAATAAGAGCTTAAAATAAGAAAATGAGAAAATAAGATTTAAAAAATAACTTGTTTCAGATTAGAAAAAAATAAATTTCCCACCTTGTCGTACGCTGATTGACTTCGTAAAATTCAAATTGATCAGCAACATTGCTCTTTTGATTGGAGTTGCCAACAACACAGATATTTTTACTGGAACGCCTGACATTCGAGAGCTGAAGACTTTCACTTATTTTCTGGACTTCGTATAAGATAGCTACATTATATTAGGTACAATACTGTATTATGATCTGGATTCCCGGAAAAATTATACTCTCAATCGTTCGGTCACGCAATTATGATATTCTCGACTCGTTTGCCGATAAAATTCCAAATTGGTTCAGCTTTCAGCAGCTTTAATTGTGATGTTCCACGAAGCTATGACTGCATTAGAAAGCAGAGTGTAGTTGTATATCTGAAAGCTTCAGGTTCTGGTAGAATAGACAATATAAGCTTGGTCTATGTTTCCAAATAACTGCCTGTTAAGAAGTCCGTGGTAAAGGAAGATCACATTTTCGCGAGCAAATAATAAATAGAAAAATAGCCCAGATTTCAAGAGTTTCAGGTGTAGTGCGCAAGGAAACATGCTAACTTGGAAGCTAAATGTTCAAGAATAAATATATTCCTGTTACGAAGTTGTAAACAAACTTTGTCTGCCACATGTTTTCGAGTCTACTTTTGCTCTCAATCTACTGCTGGTGCATTCAGGATAAATCAGCCTACTTCATTTCTAGAATATTTAATCGGGTTAGTTTAGTTGAAATATGCTATTTTCGATTATTGGAAAATGTTTTTGGAAGTTTGGAAAGCAAGGACACACTTTCAAGTGAGAATCGAAGAAAGTGTGGGTCATCATCCAAAGCTTTCAGGGTGAATTCTAGTAATTGGTCTAATGTCTGATGGAAATATAAACTTTGACAAACCAAAAAAGGGTGTTAATCCAAATCGACTGTTCATAAGTCTTTATTTCACTCCATCGAACGGAATTTTGAGAAAAATCGAGCTGAAATTCCAATGGAAGCATTTTTTATCTGCAGACATTCCTTGGATGTTCAAAAAATAATACAACTTGCGCAAGATATGGAAGAACGAAATTATTTGAACATAATCGAGGTATTGGCTAATCTTACCAATTATTCGAATGAATCTCTGCTACAATTTTAGAAATAACAGCAGTTCGAGCCCATTTTACTAATATCTCCGGTCTTTTGCAACTTTCAAATTTTCAAAAGAATAAATGCACGAAGCACTGTTCTCGCCGAAAACAGTAAGTGTGCAATTGCCCAGTTTAATAGCTTGAATGCACCCAACAAAAAATGCCCGACTTGGCATTTGTTTCAAAAAACTGATGCAAAATGATTTTTAAAAATCATTTCTCTGCAATTTCAAAAATCATGCGATGCAGTGACGGTAAAGAAAAAATGGAAAGCTCAACAAATCTCAGCTCTTTCACGTTTACTTGACTCACAAAAAGTATTTATGTGGTAATTCATTCGGAAACGTCGCTATTTTTATTTTCATATTTTAAACTGTGTCCATGAATTCTTTATATATCTCTCGAATACTATCGATGAAATTCACCAAACACGCATGAAAAAAGTATACAGGGGAAGTCTCGCCGAAAAATGTTCACCAATCGACTTTCAAATTTCACACTCTCGCTGAGGATGTTCAATCCTTGGGACAGATTGTCAAGATGTTTGCAATTCGATTTCGAATTGAATGTAATGTTGGAATGAAATGCTACGAAGTCGGTCGATTATTGTACGAAGTTGCGGTTCGCGTGTGCGTCTTGCCCGCGGTCCAGTCGGGAACTGAGGCTCCGACAACGAAGCAAAGCGCATCATGCGTCGGACGAACTTGACAAACCCAACGTCTCTACGCAATTTTTAAATGCTTCATCATGCCACCCCCTCCCCCCTTCCTTCCTACGTAATTTACCTTCTTAATTTTCTGATCTTGTGTTCGGACTTCGGAGATTATTTTTCAAAATCTTTCAACAGGCGCATTAGAAATGATGCGCTATTCAGTGGACCTACTTTCCGGGATGAGGGAAGGTTTGAGCTGGGAATGGATTTGAATATTTTGAGGTCAAACCCGGAGCTGCGATTTTCTGGGTCGTTTAAATGCCGGAGATGGTGGAACCAGGGTTGGGTATATATTAGGGTCGGAAAATTGGAACGCTTTGATAAGTAATCAACGCCAATTTTTATCAATCTCAAAAAGCTTGTGAATTCATTTCACACTTGCAAAGTTGCGATTGAATTTTTTTCTTTATTAAATAATTATTTACCAATTATTGTTTCCCAAGAAGCTGTTAGCCATTATAGACGCGTCCTATAGTCGTTAATATGATCTAATACAGTAGTATAATTATTGGGCTCCCTCTATTTATTTGTTATTGGGCGCCTCGATAAAGAATCAAATTTTGAGTCGCAATTTAATGGAATGTATAATAAGCTGTAATGTTCAATGTACAATGAAACCCCGATATGAAGACACCCCAACATATGGAAGATTTGACATAGGAACACTTGAAAACAAACAAAAAAATACGCTTGACATCCAGGTATTGGCTCAAGTTAGGGACATATTTATGATATTTTCCCGAAAAATTGAAGTATTTAATTTTTTTAATTTTGACATCTTCCAAATAAATCAAGCTATTTATATTCACAAAATGTGAAAAAATTAAGTAAATGCAGTCTAATTCATGATCAACAGCAAGCTGATTTTGTGCTTCTTTTTTCAGAGTTTTTTTCTATCATCTGTGATGGATATTCTAGCAAGACTTCTTCTTTTTCTCTGCTTTTTGATCTCTCTTTGATACCAAAAGATCAGATTCTATGTGGTGGTTCTGCACTGTTGTTTTCTACAACTTTTGAAGGTGAGGGAAAACATTTTTATTGCATTTTTGAGGCCTTATTTCTAATTTTTGACAAAAATGAGACCCAATTAATTGCATTATTAGTACTGAAGTCTAGGGGAAAATGAGACTAGACTTGAGGACATTCCAGTATCAGGACACTCTTTTTGCACCGATCATGTCCAGGTATCGGGGTCTCACTTACATTATAAATTGAAAAATATAGCCAAACTTTAAAGAAAAAACTCAGTCACAGAATATTGAAAGTACTGTATCTTAAATTAATTAGTCTTGAGAAAAATTTTCAAATAAAAATGAAAATTCAGCATATTAGATTGACCTGCTGATGAGCACTTTAAGCCCCAGATTGATTTACACGAGAAGGAAGCGACACCTATTGAAGTAGTTTACCAACACAGCGTACGATCTTTGAAAATCGCAGTTTGATGTCGGAAACGTCCTTTGGAAAAGCTACCATGTCTAAACTTGCATTCGATTGAAGTTATCCTTCTCTAAGAACTTAACGCTGAATGGCGTAAGTTACTTTCGTTTTCCATCTGGAAATATTCCATAACAAAATATGGATGTTCTATGCGCGTTTTCACTCGATTCCCCACGATATAAAAAAACGAACAATGCTTATTTCCTGTACACATACTATAAATTCGGAGATTTCGGACTAGTCTTACCTGCATCAGGAGCGAAGGCATGAAAAACCTAAAGCTCAAGTTCCAGCACAAGAAAAAAGCTCCTTCTTCGGAAAACAGAAGACCTTTAATCTTCTGCTCCATATCCCATCAGGCGTGTTTCCCCGAAAGCTCTTTCCGTTTGATCTCCAGAATTTCGCGATTGATCCCACGTGAAAAAGAGGAAAAAATATATAGAGGAAAATGCACTTGAGAAGAGTTTGTTCTTCTTTCCTGCGCACATATACACACAGTTTACTAAAAAAAACATTTACGGTACACACTCATCACAACCCCGAAATTGGAATTCTTCACGGAAATCAAACGCTGGCAACACCGGGGACTGAGTATCCGCGAGCGTGGCTTTTTTTTTTCTTCACTTTTCACATTGAACGGCTTCCATTTCAAAATGTTTTTGGTTCTCTTCCATTTCCAACTTCAAGCAGTCAATTGACAAAGTCTTTCCGAAATAAGACGAAGAAAAAAAAGCTGCAAAACTACACTTGAAAAACGGCACTCAAACCGGACTAGACAAGACTTGGACTTATGCAACCACACACCGCTCGTTTTCATCAGTGAGTGCAAATTTTTTTGTGTCTCTCAAGAAATCATGGTCTTGACCTAATAAAACTGTTTCTCAAAGCCTGGGAATGACAACGAACTCTGCTGAAATACAACGCCAGGAATTCGTAGATGAATTTCACAATGAAAAATGTGGTCTCGACGACGGAAATCATGCTTGCTCCGAGAAGTAGTCCCATGTATCCTCCTATAGTTCCTTTAGGGTATAAAAAATTCGAAGATTAATAAAAATGCATCTCTTGACTAGCTTGAATTAAAAAAAATTTATTTTGAAAGGGTACACAAAAAATTTAAATAATTTTCGTAGAAACATTTGGAAGTCTGGACATTCTTCTTGAAGGTGAAGCATTCCTGAGTTCCAAGAATTCAGTTATTTTTGTCATGAAAAACCTTGCCCTATTTATGCATATTTTTCTTTCAAAAGCAAAAGAAAAGCCGAATTTTCGAAGTACACGAAGTTTCATAGCGGGGAATGTTCAAAAAAGAAATCGGTAGACTCCAAGTTGTAGTATTTCCTGAACATTTCCAGCTATAAAATTTAAAAACAAAAGCTTGAAACATATTCTCTAATGTTCAAAAAGTTATGCTCCATCGTATGATTTTAGTTCAGTAGTTATTTTTAAATTGCTGGGGCATCAACATTCAAAAATACAGGCTGGAAAGCTTATTTTGGTATCAAATTAATTGTCTTTAGTTCAGAAATAATGACCTAAAACAGCGCCTTCAGATACTGTATTAACAGCATTGCATTGTACATGATTTTAGCACATTTATTGGCCATTATGACAACATACCAAAACAGTCCAAAAGAGTGTAGGACTTGTGGACAATGGTGTTGTAATTGGTGTCGGTGAAGAAGAGTTTGATTATGAGAATCTCATCTTCATCTGACAAATCATGCTTTGTTTTCATGTCCGAAATGAATTTTCTGCTCAGCAGCTCGTAAGACATCGTCGACTTGAAACTTATTTCTCGGCACAGTGGCAAACAATGAGCTGAAACTAAAATCAGACGCACTCATAATTATGAAAAACTGTCTAATTTTCGTTAGTTTATTTAAATTGTAACTCACATGTTTCCGCTCCTCGTCCCCTAATTTTTAGCATTTCGAACATTGTTGGCAACTCAGTAGGGTCTTCGTAAAGCTGAGGCAAGCTGCAGTTGATGATGTCTTGAGGCTCACAAATCCTGACCGAATTGTTGTCTGTTGAAGAATATCAACTCATATTTTATTTTCTCTTTTTTTTTAATGAGTCAATTATGCGTTATAGACCAATTCGTGGGTCGTCGATGAGCCGACATCTGCAGGAGGATTCCGACAACTCGAACAATTTCCGCAACAAACAGTTTCCTCGCCATTCCGAATATTCTTCGATTATTTTCGAATACTCCAAGACACTGACTTGTGATGACAAATCCACACAAACTTTTGGTTGACCCCTGAAGCTTGGCATCACGAGTCCTGACCAATCTTCCTGCGGAAATCGCCAAATTACTCAGAAATGAAGTCTTCGGAAATCGCATATTGAACCACTTTTTTTTACATACATTTCCGTTTTCGAATGGCAATGAAAGTAATTTTTTGAGTACAGTTTCATCATTCATTATATTAGCAAATGGAATCTGTGTTATTGAAACTTGAAAGTGCGGGCTTATTCAAGTATACGTAAATTTTGGTAAACATTTTCTAAGTGAATCGCAGACTGCATAACATTTATTTTAGATGTTCGAGAAAACTTTTTCTAAGTTAATTTTTTCACGATCACAACAGAGGTCTGATCTGGACAAGGGTCTGTTTTGAATAAGAAGATTTCCCTGAAATTCTCGGCATCAAATAAAAATGTTCATCGGCATAAGTGCAATTGAAAAAAGGTGTTTATATATTCATTTGATAAAAACTCGTTTCAGTTAAATTGGCATTGATTCCAAAATTGTCTGAGGAATTTCGATTTTAAAAGTTGGCCACTAAAAAAACTTCGATACTAAACTACATTTGAATTATTCCTTCTAGCTAAATGTTTACCAAAAACTCTTTACTATGTAAATGCGGAAAGTGAGATTTTTCACCGTGTAGAAATGCGTCAAAAGAAAATATTCCGAATATGTACAGACCCGGAAATTAGGTTCATTTATCGAAAAAAGATCGCCATTGAAACGAAATGTGTGACGATCTGACACGTGAATCGATCAGAAAATTCAATGGGTTTCCGTCCCCAGAAACGTGACCAGAAATCTGAGCTCGTGAAAATATTTCCTCTTCTTTCTATTTAATAGATTTCACGCTTACATTTTTGAAATTTTAAAAATCCATTCCGGGAATATACCGCAAATAATACGGTAATGAAACTCATGCGAAGAGCTGCATAATTTTAAAAATAAGAATAAAAATCAATAACACAAGTTGTACCGGATTCAATTCAAAGTTACATTTATTTTTCATGTTTTAAAAATGGCATGTGAAAATGTCTTGGAAAACTCACGACGGTTTTCGTGAGTTCCATAGATGTTTTCATGCCAGCTGGTGCACCCTTGTTAGCTGTCGTTGTCAGTGTCGACGGGACTGTGGCAGGGTGAGTGACAGTGACACTATATCCGTAAACGTCTCCAGCGTCTGTCAACAGGCGACTATCCAGACCTACAATCAGCAAGAGCGATTAATCCCAAACTTCCTGCAAACACTATCTAAAAACTTGACCGAGTTCCTCATTGCGTCACAAGAGTTACAAATAACGAAGTGCCATGAAAAGGGTATAATAGAAATGTGTTTAGACCTTCTCGAATGTTTGATCTGAAGTAGCTGAGAAATCTCGATTCAATTTTGAATTAGCGAATTGAATAAAATTCAGAAAATTGCAACAACACTTTTAAAAGACAGGGGCCAAAATGAGACCGTAAAACAAAGTACAGTAGTGCTTTTTACACAACACGAAGGTCATTTTCAAATTTACGATCGAATTTCATCAGAAAAGTCTTTTACTTCAATTTTATATGAACGCAGATCGACATGATTTCAGATTTACTATTTGATTCATTTTCTGACAATATTTTCACATTTTTCCCCTTGAAGATTCAAATAAAGAAATGATCAAGTACGACGAATCACTGTACACAAAACTAATAGATTTTAAAATGCCCGGTTTTATGCATTTCTTGGCAGTCTATAAGAGGAAAGGAATACTCAAAATTTCCGAAGTGGAAACAAGGACTTAGGTCCCAAATCCATGCTTGAAATATAAAAAAATCGGATCCTTTTAATCTTTGTGATGCAGGTGTAACGTGTGAAAGTTGTCCACGTCAGGTTTCAAATTGAGATGATATTCGTGAAAAATAAAAATAAAAGAATATTCCTCAAGTTTATTCGTCAACTCCAAAAAGGTTTCAAAGGATTCTTGCTCAAAACTTTGATTGAATAATAACTTCGGTGCAGAAAGTATTGAGATTTTTGAACTCGTCCTCGTTTTTCGCCTTCAAAAGCGCTTTTTAAAATATTAATTTTTGGTCAACCTCTATATCGTGAAGATATTTTGCGGAATTCAAAAATGTTTTGAATCATCTTGTCTCACCCATGCTGTAGTCGTCAGTTTTCAGTATGAAAGTGATTCCTCCTTTCCTGCCGAATATTTTTTGCATGTGCACATTGCCGTGAGACGACAAACAAGGCCCATGGCTGGTAATTGCAGGTTTCGGAAATACAGTTTCACAGCACTCGTCTCTGCTCAATTCTTTCCCATCGTAGGAACATTGCAAAATCACATCCTCACACCTGAGCCAAAAAATAATAATAATTTCACAATTTACTCCACTCAACAGCATTTCTTCGGATAGAATTGAGCATCATATCGCAAACTCTGTCGCTATCCTGTGAAAACCATGGCTCTAAATTGAAGATATTTTCTCAAGTGTATGATATTAAACAGAGTATCATCACTACAGTAATTGAAAGGCACATTTGTTCGCAGGAAAATTGGATGCATGAGATCAAAGAACATCAAACAGGAATCTCTTCAGAACATCATGAGGCTCAAGTCTTAGGTAAGTTCAGCGCTGAAACAGAAGCACTTTCCATCAGGGACTTTTAAGAGACATTGATTGAATATACTCAGTAATAATTTGAGATAATCTCCATTAAATAGCATCGATCCTTGAAAACGAACGGATTACATTTATTTTCCTAGATTTAGAGATGTTAGGATTTTTTGGGATGCTCATTTTGTCGGGTCAAGTTTAATTCAACCGTTAATGGATGGACTGTAGCGAAATACTGTACTGCAAAAAATTGGGAAGATTTTTTTTGGAGATTTCCGGAATTCATTTGTCCTAACAGAGCTCCGTCATTTTGGAAACGAAAAAACCAATGTCTTTTTCAACCTTTAAAAAGCTGATGCGTGACATTTTTACATCACCTCAGGGCAAGGTCCATGACAAGTCCTTTGTAAGTGGTATTTTTAGCTGCCAGGATTTCATCCAACCACAGCTTCATGGGTTCATGCAGTTCCTTGGATTCAGCAAAATCCTGCCTCACATATGCTCCAGCCCCAAATCCCAACAACAGGTAGGCCATGAAAGTCCCATTTACATGGAGATCTGCTACAAGGTGTAAGCGGACAAGGGATGAAGCCAATTTTGTAAAAGGTTTACCTTCATATATTGTGTCAAACAATAAATAATCAACACAATGCACAGTTCTTTTTGAATGCCATTCCGCATTTTTTTTCCCTTTCAATCCTATTGGAAAACAGGCAGTGAAGTCCATAGCACAGAAACAGAGGACATGCTTGGTTACGTGAGATCTTTATTGTGCCCAAATATCCAAAATCCCAAATATGTTTCAGTTTTTGAGCAAACTTTTTATTGGGACATTTTTTATGTGTGCCAAAAATGGAAGTTCAATGCCTTTAAAAAAAATCGCCCAATAAATGGACATAATTTTGCTGAAGTGTTCATATAACAGGTGGTGCCCCACAATGTGACTAGGGCCAGATTCCAAGGTGGTTGAATTGCAAAGCAATGTCAAATGCAATGCTTTCTACATCTTATTTGACATTTTCCCCATCTTTGAGGGTTAAAGTACAGGGCTAGGTTGAATTGCAAGTCAACCTCCCATCAAATTTCACTGACAAATTGCAGGAGGTCAAATTTCAAGATTTCACCTGCACAGTTGAACCTCTCGTCCAAATCAAATTTCAAGGGATCAACATAAAAATTTGACTGTGAGTCAGAGAAACAAGCATTTTTGCTGTGGGAAACTCAGAAGAATTACAGAAAATTGTAAATTGTGATATTCTGGGCGCTGAATTGCATTTTAAATGAGTTGACAGGATGCTGAACTTTGAAACAGGGATTCATTTACTCAATTAATCTTTCACTTCCTTTCAAAACACAACAAATTATGTTCTTATTGCTTCCCTTGTATTTCTTGCATCAAGAAAATACTGTAACAGCAAATAAGCCTCATAAAATTAGAGTTGAGGTGATCTCAGAGGAAAACCTTTCAAAGTTAGGGAGGTTTTTAATGCATTATTCCTAAGGGGATTCAGACTCAAAACAAATTATACTTTGGGAGGTTCAACTTATCAAGGTTCAAATGCAATTCTGTGCATGGTTTGCAGTTGTTCCGACATCAGAAACTTGTGCAAAAATTACTTCATTCAATATAAAAATTCTTGGAATGTGCATTTTTTTCCAGACCATCGGGAATGCATTTGCTTTTTGCCAGAATTTCTGAAATGCCCCCAACCAGGTTAGACAAACAGCATGCGTTTGTTCTGCAAGTTGTGCAGTTTTCCACAAGTGGAAGCTTAACGTCTCAAATAAGCCTCGTGGTTGTTCATTATCACGTTTCTTTCCCCCCCCCCCCCATCATTTATGACTGTTCTAAGACGTCTTCTGTAACGTTCACCTGTCCATTTTGATGAGGAAAATATGCAGTGGATGTTTCACCAAAATTGAGGGCGTGTGCTGGGAAACGTGGTTATGTAAAAATGGGGAGAAAATGGACGAGTATACATGGTGCATATTTCTATGCTGTTTCCATATGACTTATTATTCAGCACACATCAGGAAGATGCTTTGACGTGCAACGCGTCATTCATACGTCTATGCGTACCTTTCGCGAAGGACAAACAGGCGGGGATCCCGATCCAACGATCCAACACACGTCATCATTCGTCCACCAAAAGAAATCCCAAGGATTCGGAATAGTATTTTCCCAGATACAAGGTAGCAGAAAGATCAACAGGAATTTTTTCCCCCGAAGAAAACCGATGGAGAGAAAAAAGAGGTTTGATAAATTATTTGCTCGAGTTTTGCGCTGCTGCTGCTGCTGCTGCTGCTGAGACCGACAAGACCTTTCAATATTTAATTTCCGGGCGGGATCCCTATGAATCGGGAATGCCTTTTCCAATTTGGTACTTTTCTATGTTTCTACGAAGCAATTTCCTTCGAATTGCATTTCTTCTTTTTTTGTGGAGAATTTAGTGGGGATTTCGGGAATGAACTTTTCGAGGCCCTCCGCGGTCGAGTATTGACCACCTGGGTCAAACGTTTGCTTTCGTCCAAGCGATATTTTGTAAAAAAAAAATAATAATAATAATAACCCCAACTCATAAAATCCTTCGCGGATTCGGATGAGAAACCAAATTTTCAAAATTCATTTCATGAGTAGAATTGACTCACCGTTGATCGCAGATCGTTTGAACGGACTGCTGGCACAAATCGTGACGTCCGGAAGTTCCATCTCAGTTTGTTCCTCCCAACTCAGTTCCGTGCTGCCCTTTTGAACGTGATAATTCCAATACGCGTCGAGGTATGTGATGAAAATGTAGGCGAGGAATCCAGTTTGCACTAAAACCACGGCAGCCCAACTCAGTTTCGTGATGAGTTTGTCTGCTCGTCGAATGTTGCCGAGTCCGTGAATTGTGGCGTCTTGGCAGAAGGTGTTGAATTTGCCTCGCATGAGAACTGAAATGGACTTGACGAGTGGTGGACGTTCGTTTAGGGTCATTTGTCTCACCGCGTTTTGAGGCGGGACTCTGAAAATTGTCAGGACGATCAAACATTTTTAAATCAGTGCAAGTTTTCACTGACTAGTTTTCACAAAATAGGAGTAAATCAATGCATTTTCCCACCGAAAAAATATAAACAAAAAATATTCTAAAAAATTACAATTGTTATAAGAATAATATCAATTCTGTGAAAATTTTCTTTAAAAAATGATTTTATGTGCGTGTGCTGGTCATACTAATGATAATTGAAATTAAGAACAAGTGGGAACAATCTGGAAGATTATGTGGATTTTTTCGAATACAAGCATGCATTTTCCACGAAAAAAAAATGCAGTAAACCCGAAAGTGATTGTGCGGAAATTTCCTCAAAACACATATGATTTTAATTCGCATGTTACTAATGCTACTTGGAGCCATTTGAACGCGTGGAAACAATTCGGAAGAAAATGGAATTCATTTGTTTTTCGCGTTGTTGATTTTTCTCGACGTTTCGCAGGTTGTTTTAGAATTCAAAAAGTTTGTATATGACGTTCGAAAATTTATTGTATGATCTTTAGCCTCATTTATTTATTTTAAAATATTTTGATGCTCACCTGTCGTCGTTATTGTTGCTCGGGTCGTCGCAAAAGTCGAACTTTTCCACGTTGGAACTGTCACCATTGGGCAAATTGACAGTAGAGGACTTTGTTGACACAGAATAGGAGTAGTTTGGGTCACTCGTACGATTGTCAGTGAGAGTAGGGATGTTATTTGGGTCATCGTCGAAGCTGACCTGACGGGAATTTATGGCATTCGCAAGGGCGTATGGCGGCACTGGATGCTTGTTACCCGAAGCGGGCATAGTTTTCTTTCCAATTTGGTCGTCCTCACAATTTATCCCTGCATAAAATACGAAAAAAACGCGATTTTTCAAAAGCGGAAAAGGGGAATTTTCAAAATTCGAAGATGGAGTATATCCAGAAACGTTTTCATTGCAGGTGGATGAAATTTAGCTACCTGCTGGTGGTCAACTATTTTTTTTTGTTGAGGGATTTTCGATGAATTTTTGCCGCGAAAATTTCTTTCATCAATTTGCAAAGCCACTCTGTCGATTCAAATTATGCATTAATTATACTCGCCACCAAATTTTTTCCCAAGGAGAAGTTCACAGAAATCAGAATTCCAAAAGTTATGTCTTTGACTCAGAATGAAATTCGAATGAAATTGCATCACTTGAATTTCAGATATGTTTTGCTGCATTCAAAATACCGTAGTTTGGTTCAGGACCCGAAGAAGTCATCGGTACCGTGCCGAAAAAAATGAATTATGTAATCGAATTCAAGAAACCGCCTAATACATCAGAACTTAAGATAATCCCTCTTTTTATGAGAACAATTTCCAATAAAAAAAAGAGCGTTATATTTTTGAGTGAATTTTTCAAAGTAGTTCACGAAGCAAGATTTGCAAGGGAATTTGTTTTCAAATTCTAAGATATTTGTATCTTCAGTAAAATGATGATATTTTATTATATTCCGGGGTAACACATAGAAATATGAGACGAAAGTTTTCGCGACCGGGGTTGGAGCAGAACTGCTGAGGAACCCCTGGAAATCGTCTCTCCAATAACAAGGTCCTTCAACCCGGGCCGCTTTTCTCAGGCAGGGTTCGCGCAGACGGGGAATGTTCGAGTGAATTCCAGAGGATAGATTTTCGCACCACTTGACAACCCATCTGAAAGAGACCTTGATTGCTTTCCTCTGCTTATGAAAACCACAGCTTGGGAGAAGTACAGTATACAGTATATTAATTATCCAGTACTTGGAATCGGTGGACGCTTTACGTGCTGCTGCGCTGAGGAAACGGATTTTCAGGTTCCTCATAATACTGTACAGTACTTCTTTACATCGGAATATTCTTGGTACAATGGTGGAAAACATTGAAACAAGAAAATTATACTTGAAATTTCAAAAAGGACTTTGGCTTTTCGTGTAATTTTTATGCATTTTCGCGCCTTCTCCAATTCGAAATAGTGAGGATCATCACATTTTAGCTACTTCAGGTATTAATTAGGAGAGTTTTTTTCAATATGAGACCATTGCCATGAAATCAAGGGATTCAACCACGTACTTGAAGCTTTTTTGTAAATATTTCATGAAATCCTCATTCTTTCAAGAATCAATAATAAAAATGCATCGCAAGCTTTCAGTCTGTGATGGATTGAAAATCATACTTCGCTTGTATTTGCAGGGCTTTTTCATTTTTCTTGAAGTCTGACGATTAAAAGAAAGCAATCGGTATTTCAAGATCAGTCTTTCTGGAGTCCATAGTCAATTCTCCGCATTCCATTGAAAAATGTTGAATTGATCTTCCTCAGGAATTGACTATTCTATTTTTTTTTTGAAAATCTGTAAAATTTTGGAAGCCAACTTCTGAGAATTGTTCGTCAATATCTTGACTTATATCACGCTCACAAACGATTTTTTTTCGTTCGGTGCTTGTTAATTTTATTCAAGTGTTCAAGGTCACATTCATTACTTCAGGTCATTGCAGAATGCTTTCTTCTGTGCGATTTTAATTTATTCGTGGAAAAATATTAAGATAAACCTGGATGAATTCCATGCATAGAATGCAATAAAATTGATGAATCGTTTGGGAAGCTAAAAGAAGGAATTCTTCAGCACTAATTTCTTGCTTATCGCGTTGATTTAATGCGTAAGTAAATCATCATATCCGCAAGATTTGCCCCAAGGTTTTGCTATAGTCACGTGGCGGCTGAAAGCTGAGGGTCATCATTTCGTGAGGAGAAGGCGAAACACTCGGCAGCAATTTCCTAGGAAGGTTTGCAGATGAGGTGTCAACAGGGTTAATCAAAAATTCATTCATATTCAAATTTAAGTTGAAGTACTCATAGTATATGTCTATAATTTATGGTATACGCAGACCAAATCCAGAGTCATAATCCCTAAAATCCCATCCTATCATGATAGATTCATTTTGTGTCCAAGGAAATTATGCTTGTTGGGTTAGTAGATCGCTTGGAGACTTGATTTCTGTGGAAATTATTTTTTGCAATTTCAGTATGAATATAAAAGGAGCTTTTACAATCGTTTTTTGTTCAGTTTTATATTTCTGAAGACAGCCTATAATGACCAAGCACCTTTTGAACAAGTAAAACCTCATTAGAGCCTTATTACCAACCTTCTTCACACACACTTCTTCTCCTCAATTTCAGTTGACGGGTTTTCTAGGTTTACAAACACATTTAAATTTTAAATGCTTCGTCATTAATAAATCATGCAAATGTTGCCTCTTTTTCCGTTTTTTTAAAACTCAGTTTAGAAATGCAGTACAGGGGTCAACAAATTATTTTAGACTCAAATGGTATTTCCCATGTAAAACTTAGCGTAATATTTTCTAACGACTGTTTCACTTATCACTTGAAAATCCGCATTTATCTCTGACAATATTCGGGAAAATTGTTGCTGGTATTCATCAAAGTTGATTTCTTGCAGACAATTGGCGCGGGGAAATCTTGCAAACTTACCTAGGGACCCTTTCATAATTATGTCGACGTTCGTGCGTGACTGTCGTTTCATCAGTCAGACGAGGAAGCCGTTTGTCGCAGTGCTTTCAGTGATTACTTATGTGCACACTTGTGTCACATCGGCGCGAAAATAATCGGTTCAAGGTGTCGGTTCCTCACAATCATCTCTCCTGAGATGAAGAACATTCACTGAACTATATGCATCAAGATATCAAGGAAACTGTTCACTGATGCAGGTATTTTTCCCCCGGATATAACGCCTGTTATTGTTGTCACACAAAGCTATCCAACCCGTTCAACGTGGGAAAAGGAAGAAATTATTATTTTTCGTTTGAAAAAAAAAATTCCCTCGAACAAACTTGGAACAATTTTGTCATGATGAGAAAAATGTGAGATGATGATCCTGGCTGTGTTATTTTTCCAGGAATACTTGTGGATGAGAAGGGGGAAGGGAAATGATTCCTTTTTTCTCACGAGGTCATGACCTCTCGACTACTGCTGGAACGTGTTTACTTGACTGGAATGATTTTCATTGTTCCTCATTGTTGGTGACTAATTGCACTCTCGAAGTAAACAGGGCTTTTGTTTGGCTTTGAAGAACAAATGATCTCGCCTCCACGTTTTCTCAATAAATGGAACGTTGAATTTGTCGGCGGCGTTGTAAAAACAATAGCTTGCTAATTTTGTGCCGCTGTAGTCTACTGTATTCATGTGCTCTCGTGTTTGATTTTTCATCTGATAGGAAATTAAATTTCGGTTCAGATGAAGAATTGAATTTGTGGTGGAATAATGTGAAAATATGCATTCTGATATGTGTTTTTCAGGCTTTCTTCGGTGTTCAAATTAAACTTATTATTTTAATGCAAGAGTTCACTCAAAAACTTGCAAATGTTTGATTGAAGTGTCAAAAATAGTCTTCGTTAGATGGATGTGAAGGATTTCAAGAAGGACTGCATTTTTGATACAAGATTCAAAAAGGAGGAAAATATACATTGCCACCTAAAAAATGCTTGTCTTCGGGCTTCTTGAAATAAATTCTTATAAAAAATAAGACGTTATTCAATTACCGTAACTTCAAAATCCGAAATTTGTGTAATCGAAAATTATATTTTCACTGAATTTATTCCTTTTATTTCATTTCATAAAGAAACATTGCCTCATTATGCATTCACCATCATCCTATAAAATCATCATTATATTCTCTGCAATGGCATTATAGTTGATCATCCTGGAATGAAGCATGCTGTCATGTCCATCAATGGAAAAAAAATCGTCAGAAAATAAGTTGGACATTAAAAATTAAAGTGCATGACAGACATTTTGAATTTAAAACCCTTCTTTTACAAATCTAGATAAGATTTCTCAAACATAAAAGTAAAAGCTTTCGGTTTTGAAACGTAACCTAGGTATTGACGCCTATAATTTGTATTAAGGACACCAACTTTTTCTCAGGATTATTAAAAATATGCAAGGATCAGAATTAACTGTGCAGTATAATTTTTTTTAGCCAAATCCTGGACACATTTTACTTATATTTCGATTTTATTCAAACGCATATTCATTTCAAGCATTTTCTTAAAAAGTTCGTAAATTCTACTCCGTGAAAACTTACATGGGGTTCACAGCGAGAGTTCGCCTCCTTTATTTAAATAGTAACTTGATACCATTACACCTGAAAGTATTGGAATAAATGTCATTGAATTAAATAGTTTATTTCCCAGGCATGAACTGAGGCATTCGACCACAAAATTCAATTTTTCCAAGTCGATATATGTGGTCAGTTCCCATAACGGAAGAATCGAACTCCACCAAACCCTGGCAAGCTGTTTCCCAGCACGCAAACAACTGTTCCTCCACCACTAAGTTCTTGACCACTGAGGAAATCAAATTTTCTTGGGTAGACGAAAACGGTGCCATCGGAGAACAGGGAGAATCCTAGGACTTCCCAAACCAGAGAAGAAGTTTCTCCGTTGGATTCGTTTGCAATGGCGGACACAGAGCCAGTGAAAGCCTCAGCATCTGCAGAAATAATTGCACTGATTAGTATCTTTTGGGGACTGTGGCTCGTGGCAGTAATTTAATATAATAATCCCCCCTCTTTTGGGTAAACCAATGCTGGGCTTACAGGAGCCTCACAGCACTGAAGAACTTGCCCCCAAAATCCTTGGAAACTTGTATGACAATGGGCATCATCGTCTTTGCTTTTTTCTTCTTATCAAATCAGAAGAAAAATAATTGAAGTTCACTTACCCGAAAACAAGTCCTCTTTTTTTCACGGCGAAGAAACCTATAAAACCTTTGAATATCTGTACTGAATTCCCATTCCCCAGTCTTAGCTTCCAGCACTGCTAAATATCAAGCCAATATTCCCTTAGAAATTGTGTGAATTATTGTAAGCGTATTTTTCTTGAAGAAGATTCTGAGTTTTTTATTCTTTTGGGACATAAATAAATAGCTACTTCCGGGACCTTCTATTCTATAAAGATGCTCCCAGCCAGTCCCAGGCTGATCCTGCTGTATTACTCATAAAATCTCTTTGTCTGGGAAAATTCCTAACAGTATCTCAAGATGGTGAGAAAAAATGATGTAACATGATTATTCACTTATTTTGTATACTTATTTCTACTCCTAATGGAAAAGTACAGCATTGAAATCTCAGAAAATCAATGTTGCCGGAAAGGGCTGGCTTATTATCCATGCATAAAATATATTATCAGATCTTGGCATAAATCAAGATGAAACTGTTTAAAAGAAATTCCGAAATACGCAATAATTTACGCCGAAAGTAAGTATAAATAACAAGCTTCTACAGACCCGATACATTTAAGTGCTAATAATACATGCTTGAGAACCGAATGTGTTTTTGAGGCAATAAGGGGGGGTCAATCACAAGAAATTAGCTTTCTCTCACATTCGTAAATATTCAAGTTACGTATAGTCAATTTTGAAACGAAGTTGAAGCAAATTTAAATTTCTCTGGCATTCTGGATAATCAACATTCAAGATTTTGAATGCAAGAGAAATGAGAAGCATTCGAAATCGGTGCAGGGTGGTATAAAAAAATGCTATGCTCTAGTTATCAAGCCTCCTCGACGAGTCTGCGATTTGAAACTAATTTGATACAAGATTTTGAGAATCCGTTTCCTCGCGAAAAATATTTTCAGTAAAAAGGGTTTGAAGCCTAATTGTATGCATAAAATGCTGTTGGTAATTTTGAAGATCAACAAACCACTGGTAGTTTCATGGAACATTTCCCAAACGACGCCTCCACTGACGGTGTTCAAGTTCACGTCACTGCTCTCACATTCGGAGAAAACAACTTCGATTTCAAAAATCATCCCGATGTCGTAAGCGAATTTCAGGGCTGCAAAAGTTCCGATTGGGACTCTATGAAAAATCAAAAATATTTGCCTAGTCATTTTTCAAGAAACCGACATCAAAAAGGCAACAACAACAAAAAACTTATTAGTTTTCACGTGAGGACGACACTGCCTCTTATTCTTCAATCAGACTTTGCCGCAATTATATTGTGACCACGAGAGATTCTTGCAAAATGAGTCACAAATTTTGACTGTTCATTTTCCTTTTCAAGTTGTTCTGCTATTTTTTTCATTTGTTGGAATGCGAATACCGTGTATTATGTCTTAAGATTTGAAAATCACCTCACGAATATTTCGTCAATTTAACGTCCAATTCTCACCGCATGTTCTTTTCCAAATACTGTATACATTTTTACTATTTATTGGAAAGAATGCAGTTGAACTTCAGTCCAAGTAATTGGTGTTCCACTGCAGTTTTAATATGCATACATAGCATGCAAAATATACAGAAAATATTTTTGAATATATGAAATGCTCAAGGTTTCTAATCGAGACAAACTGAAGCTGTTAATGAATGAAGAGCATTGAGAACATAATAGTTTTTAGCCAAACTTCAAGTCCTTCAAAAATATTGACTTGAAAATATTGGATGCATATTATTCGGCAAGAAGAGAAAAGGGTCGCAATTTTTTTTTGCAATGACCTTGTTCCTCGAGCAGCGTGGAATAATGAAGCGTCTCCGAGAGGACAAGAAACTGCTCCAGTTGCGGGATACTCTGCCCGGTTGTCGTCAGTGTCCCTGTCACTAGAGCCAGAAGCCAGATCGAATGTGCTGTATTCCAACAGGGTGGTGTCGTCATTGAAGACCTTGACGGCATCCGTGACCAGAAGACCCTGTGCTGAAAACGATGAGAGAAACCCAAGAAAAGGAAGTTCACAAACAGCGAACTTATTTGTCTCCCAACTATACACATCACACCCTCGCATATGGGGCTTCACTTCCTTTTGGATATACTGTATATATACGGTATATTGTACATTCTACGGTATACGAAGACTCTCAGGCAGGGTTGTCGTTGACAGGGTTCCGACTACGACGAGTTGCTGAAGAAAAGGTTGATACAAGTTACTTCTTTTTTTCGATGAGACTAGAGAGATTCTCGGAATAATGAAACCTTACATATAAATCCTTTTTGCAACAAATGGAATAGGGTGCGTGTCAATCGAAAATTTTTCTGTGTGAGACACTTTTACGAAAAGTTACTATCGTAGCTTGTACGTAACCAAAGAAAAAAAAAACAGAGCGAACAAAACGCAGTAAGTTCATGGAACTTTTCTTCGAGGTGTACTTATATAAACAGCTTTACAGGATATAAATTCAAGAAATTTCGCTTAAAACATCTGCTCATCCATAGTCTCTCCTTTTTACGAATCTTACGTTATTTAAATGTACGCTGATTCTGTGAAGGGAGCGTCGAACAGCTCCATTAAAATTTTTCAGAGATCAAATTCACATGTTTAAAAATACTGTATCCGTATTTTAAAAAATTAATCAACTATGCTTCAAATAGGAAGTCTTTGTCTACAGTCAGGCAGCATTCAATAAAAACTTCGAAGTTTGTGTTTGAATCATGTGTTAGGGTCAAATACTACTGTTTTGCATACCTTGGAAATCGAAAGAGAAAGCGGATACCAATATACTTTAAGAAACCTCATGTTTTATGATAATTTTTCAAGAAACTATTCTTATGAAACTTCATTCTACGAGCACCGATGATGGAATGCTAGATTCAGAACTAATTCACAAAAAAATAATTTATAAATTTCAGCTAAGGAAATCGAAAGAGACCATAACGGATAAAAATCTACTTTCCAGACACCTCATGTGTATTTAAGGATTTTTTTATTCTCTCGAAACATCTCTTGACGATCATAGATGATGAAATGCTTGATCCGAAAGTAATCCAAGCGAAAAATTCTAGATCATTTTCAACTATTGTATAAGGAAACGATCTTCTTTTAAATGAGAGAAGAAAACACGAGTTTTCTGTGGTCATAGCTGCAGTTGTCTTCCTAAATATTTTTGAACATATGTGCTCCTGAATTTCGTTGATCTTTCTAAGTACCACCGTTTTTTTTCCTAAAAAAATTGACGATTCGGAAAATTATGACACGTATCAAACAAATTTTATGGGGATTCATCACTTACGGTCCAAAGCGAAGAAATTGAACGAGATGTACTCCCGACTTTCGTTCGCGTCGCTTCCAACAGAAACTAATTCGTACTGATCAAACATCCTCATTCCGATCTTGAAAAAACAAACAAATATATTTAAATTTAAATGAGAAATTCATTCAATTTTTCTTAGTTATTTTAAGAAGAATAAACTCACGTCGGCAGGTGTTGGATCCCCGGACACTAATTCGCACAACCCTGGAAACGCGACATAAACCAAGTCATGTCCACTGAGAACCGCCTGCTTCACTCCTTCATACGTCAAGTATGTATCGTCCATAGCACCTGATATTTCAAACTAACAGTGTATAATAACCACAAAAAAGGAGGAACCAATTATCTTGAGGAAGAAACTCACGTTTGTGATCAAAGAACGTCAAGGCATCCGCAGGACACGACAAATTCGCCGCAAAGTTTTGATTGAATCCATCGCTGACGTCGAAACTCCCGGAATTGATCAAAATATCAGCATTTCTTGGCAAGATGAAGGCGTCTGAGAAATACACCAAGTCCGGGCCACCGAGTGTCGGAGAAACCAGAGCGTTTTCAAAAGATGCCATTGCCTCATTTGGTTGTCCTTCAGAAAAAGAAACATCAACCCAAATGAATGCAAGGAGTTACCGAGCTACGATATAAAAAAAATGGAGTGAAGTTGAACCCAGAGAACTTGAACCTCTCGTATGTCACCTTTTTTTCAAGTCACTGTCTGAATTATTTCAGAAAAAAGCATTAAAAATCTCCCCAACTCAAAGGCTTTCCTTTCGGCTATTTTTTTTTACCGAAACAGGAAAGATGAAAGTAATAAAAATGCCACTTCATGTGTTCTGATAAGAAGTGAAATGCTATATTGGGGAAATTAACCTTTAACTTTCAGTTCAGCATCCTGTAAACTCACTTGAAAAGAATTTAAGGCATATAGAATATCACCAATTACAATTTTCTGCACTTCTTACTTTTTTCCCCAACACAAATGCTTTTTTCCCCTTAGTACTCAAAAGATTATGACTCGACTTTGTTGCTGGCCTTTTGAAGTTCGGTTCAAAAGTTTAGACTGGTACATCAAACATTTTGAGCATATTTAATTATGAAATTTGGGTCAAAGAAAAATGAGACTGCGCCTGCATGAAAAAAGGCTATAAAATCTCGCCATTATCACCACAATAAATAATACGTGTTCAACGGGTGAAAAGGAGAGGAAACTTTTTTCCATTTTCAAGGTTAAATTCCAGAATTTGTCTAAGCTGTGATTATATTGAAAAAAATTATTTATGCTATACAAATTTTTTTCTCACACTTAATAAAACTGAGCAATCAATTTCCTTCCCGTTCCCGAACAGTCTTATACTATAGCTCCTGAAATATCCAACAATTTTTGCATTTTTTCCTCAGACAACACTTTCGCTTGCGTGGATTATTCAACTTCTTTGCCTGAATTTTCCATTCGTCTCGTTCTACACACATTTAATATTTGAATGTCAGGCACTCCTGAAAATATTCACGATATAGCTGGTCTTAGCAGCGCAGGAATCACAAAATAATATAGATTTTTAATAAATAGTTGACGATATCACCATCGTTAAGCACTGCAATGTTGCTAACGAGGAAGCCGACGGTAAGTTCTGTGTCTCCAAGTACTTCTTGGTAGTTGTAGCACTTATGCAATGTGCCAACAGCTTCTATGTGTTTTCCAAGGAGCAAGCCTGTCTTTATTTCGTCGTAGGACACCAGCTGTTCCCTGCAAATTCGCAGATTTCGGATCAAATGAAGTTAATTTCGAAACGTTTTGTCTACAACTTATGAACGATTCATTCAGCGGATCTGAGGATTTCCTTTTAATGTTCAGCGCCTTCTACTCTTTCCGCGGAAATTTCGGCGAAGATATTCTTTCACAGAAGCGTTGTTTTTTTTAAAAAGCGTCTCTGATGTCTTGGTGCACATTCCAAAATTTAAAAACTTACACGTCTGCTCCGAAGTCGACCCGATGAACAAAAGCCCCTCGACCCAAGACGCAAGTGACTGAATACGTTTCGGTAATTTGAGCAGGAACAATAATGTCGACCTTCACTGTTCCGTTTGCAAATATGTTCAGCTCGCGAACAATGAAGGAAAGCTCGGATCTTCCTGCTGCTTGAAAAATAAAATCCAAATCAAAAAGCGAACAAAAAATAATGAACCTAATTTTCTTAGGAATTTATTTATCGCGGGTCTCGAACGAATTCTTGAAGCTCCGAAGCTTTGGAAAACAATCCGAAAATTTTCGGGGGAAATATTTCAACATTTTCAATGCTTAAAATCAAGTTTTCGGGTGGACAAGTTTCTGACAAGGCAAATTCCAGGCCACTGTGGAACAAGTACCAAGAGAAGCAAATTTTCCGCTATTTTTTACTGATTTTTTATCATTTAAAACTCTGAAATTTGAAACTTCTGGCTTGCTAGCAACATTTTTTAACAACTCACGTAATAAGCGAAGAAGTAATTAAAAAGATTTGCGTAGGAACTTCTTTTTCAGATTTGGGAAATTTTCAAAAATATACAGTATTATTTGAAAATGTGTGGGCTCTTGACCTAACCACGATATCTATAAAAATACCTCAAGGCAATTTTTAAATATTGCTTTGCGCTGTGAAAAAAACCCCGAATATCTCGATCCTTCCGAAAATATTTAAAAAAAAAAATTGACATAAATCATGAACCAACCGTTGACTAAAGAACTTCCAAGAAGTTGTAGCAAATTTCTGGTAAGTTTAAGAATATGCGAAAAAAAAGTTTGCGGACAACTCACGTAAAACGCTGAAATCGTTCGCTCGCACAGTTGTTTCGCCATTTTCGGTCACGATTTGCCAATGCCGCAAGGGCATGCTCAAGTCCTGAAACAATTTTGATTCATTCATTAAAAAAAAATTAGATCCAAAAGAACATCTAGGGGAGTCTCAAGATTTCATCATCACCGTTGGTGTCGTGGATTCGCAGCGATCTGCAAAGGCGTTCATTTGAAGTCGTCTTCCCCCTTCTAGATTTTCCTTGATCTCGGCAAAAGAATTCAGTCCTAAAAATTTTTTTGAAAAATATTTTGCTCAATAAATAAATCGGCATATCCTTTTGAAATTCATTTGAACCTATAATCGGGAGTGATTTTTCAAAAATGTTTACCTTGTTGACCAAGTGATGTCGTAGCAAGAATTAAAGATGGAAGAATAAATCTTGAAATCACGCGTCCGAGATCCATTTTGACCTGAACAATAAAACACATCGCAAGTTAATCAACGGAAATATAATAAACAGCCCACAAGAAAGAGACGAAAATGTTTGCTAAAAATTCAGCATTCAACGATTGAAAAGATTCCCTGTAAAAATAGAAATCCTTGATGGAATTTACACTGCTATTGAGACTTCATTCACCCAAAAGAATCGACATTCAGAAAAATTTTCAACTGTTAAAAACTATCCAGGGATCGGAAGCAGCTGTTGAATGACGCAGCGAATTTTCACTAAGACGAATTGAGCGAAAATCGAACTAAGGAAACACATGTTTCAATTTCGAATGCTTACGAGGCACCTGCAGTGTGTTTCAAATGCATTTTTTGTCAAATTAATTAGTCAAACGCTAGCCATTGAATCGACTAGCACGGATTCTGTGAAAGCATCATGAGATTCAACGCTTCTTTGCTGGCCTTTTTGGCTTGCTTGAGTTTCTCGGCAGCTCAAGGTTTGTTTAGTTGTTTGTTTTCGCGAATTGAATATCGATTGATTTTTAATCATATTTTTTCACAAGAATATATGGCGAAATAAGTGCGAACTCCAGTTTTTCAGCTTCGATCCGATGTTCCGTATTTTTAGTGGAAATTTGTTCAGCAGCATGCAATTTCAGCGACAGAAGCGCCCCGAATAAAATTTCGGACATGAAAAATTTCAAGAGTTTTATTTGAAGAAATAGACTTCATGGCATGCCCTCGTTTTTTAGAATTCCTCGACAAACTAAAGAAACGGTTAAAAAAAGAAACTTCAGGTTTTTTTTTGCCGAGAATCATTTATTTGAATAAGTAAACGAATGGTATCCTCAGCAACCGGATAATTTCGGAGGGCTCTTTTTTGGCTAAATAATTTTATCTCGGTGCAGAAAGAAGCTTTTTCATTGCTAAAAATGGTTTATGAATGTGATGGCTCATGAACTAAAATATATCTTTTTTTCCTTTTAGAAGTAGGAAGTTTTTCAGAAATCGTTTCATCTCTGGAACGCGGAATTTTCCTGCAAATCAACATCGATGTGGAACAATGCACCGCAATTTCAGATCCTTTTCCAACCAGCAACTTGGTGAGAGTCGTTTTGTTTTCCTTGAAGATCGTGTTACGGTTTTTATTTGTGTTTTGTAATCAACATGATTAGTTCATTAGCATGCCCATGAGATTATGGAGCCATCAGACGACGATTGATGAAACTTCTGGGCAACCTGTGCAAGTCGTTAATGCCGAAGATTTCTATCTTGAAGGTGAATTGACAAATTTGTTCGTTATTTCATACTTTTGGGGTTTGGTATACCCAACGAATACGAGATCTACAGGGTAGACCAGCAAAGTTCAAATCGATTTTCAATAAATAGCTGAAAAACCGCGAGAGCTTAAATCAAGAATTTTATTCAAATAAGATTTTCTCTCGACTCTTTTCGATTTGCGTTCGATTTGCTTTCATACATTTATTTACCATATTCTGGTTTCTATGGCGATTCCAAAAAAATACATTGCTCTGAAGAGAATTTTCAAGCAAAAAATTATCGTCTGACGTTTTAAATCCTTTATAAGCAGAATTAATTCGCAAATTTTTGGCTTGTGGGATGTCAGACCAACGAAAAATATTTTCGAAAATCAGCTGAAGACCAATTCAGCAACCGAAAGCTAATTTCACTGTCCCGAATATCTCGTGTGCTTCACTTATGAAAAATACGAAGAAAATTTGAACACATTCTATCACTGACACACATTTCAAGAATTTGAAGCGCGGATAAAATCCCAACAAAAATTCAAACCATGCGTATATGGTGACGCACCCCAACCACCAGCCGTAGAACAAGGAAATGGTGAGGAAGCGGTTTTCCGTTTCCGGTTTCGTTGCCTGTGTTCAAAGCAGGCCAAAGGCAATGAACCCATCAGTAAATAACGAACCGGTTTTTTCTATCTGGAGAAATAGAAAAATAAGACCACCAAGGAGTGTGATAAATGTCCCATAAGTGTCCTGTTGGTAAGATAAATGCCTTATTAAAATGCCAACACGGTAAAGTGTTCATATAAAATATTATGAGCAGTGTTTTTCCAGCAGTGGTTTGTAATTACTGTACAGTATCTTGATTCACTACGTTAATGTTAAGGGATTTTGTGTGTATGTTCTTATCTATGCATAAATTTAGTCATATAAGGTTTGATTTTGAGTGCATCAGATCTTCATCGGAAGTTGCTTTCGTGAATATCGTACTCGTTAACAGGTACCATATAATGCATTTTTCATAATTAAGCTATTTCCTTTTTTGTTCAAATTCACAGTTATATTATATCGGCTTTATGTCACGATACTTGTGTCCAAAATAATATCAAATCACTATATAATTCATTTTTAAATTATACTTTTTTATTATTTTGTCATCTTGACCCGCTTGATCAATCAATTGGAAATTTGTTTCCAAATTCAATGAAATACTTTTTTTTTTACTTGTGCAGCGGGCTCGACCGCCGTGGATTGGGTTGCAAGAAATGTGCAAATCAGTGAGGATGGAACTGTGTTGCTAAAAATATACGTCGGAGGAGTTGTTGATCCGTCTTCGAGTTTTGAATTTGGCTGTCAGCTGGGTTCTTCGGCCATTGTTCATTATGTCGACGAAGTCAATGCCATGTACGTACTGAAACTACTGTATTTTCAAGATTTTAATTTCATATGTTTGAGATAATTCAGAAAATTATGCGGATGAGGTAATGTTTTCTAGCAAAATAGTTAGTGAGATGAAACTGGAGAAATAGCGAAAGAACTGGTTCAGCTTTTTTATTTTGAGATTAAAAGATTTTTCCTGAAGGCAGTGGTTTGATTTTAATAGATTCATCTCTTCAGTACTGTATTTGCAACACGTTAGAGGTACTTCAAGTACCTTTTATCTCAAATATCCATGAGAAAATTTCTTTAGCAGAAAAAATGTTTCGTTTTGCGGATACAATATATTGTTTCTATGAGAGTATTCGTGAGTGATTTGAATAAAAGTTTTATCTTTTTCCTTTTAATTAGAGATAAAAATAATTTTCCCAGAGCGAGGCAGTGGTTTGTTTTTCATAGATTTATCTCCTCGATATTTGCAACACATTAGAGGTCATTCATACCTTTTATCTTGAATATCCGTAAGAAAATTTATTTTGCAGAAAAAATGTTTAGTTTTGCGGATACAAGAAATTTTTTCTGTGAGAATATTCGTACGTCGGAATAAAAGTTCTACATATCGATGAAATTTCAGTTATAAATGAACTGAATTCTGAATCCTCTTTTTAAGATGGAATAACTGATATATGTAGCAGCTATACAGTATTTTGAAAAGAATATTCGTGCATGCGCTTCTCTAAAATTTTTGTCAGACATTTGTATATTAATATTGTTCATGCCAGAGTTGAACGAAATCCTGAAGCCTTCTAGAGTAGAGTATTAACTCTTGAAATAATGCGCGCTCATTTCTTCGCCCAAAATTTGAAACTGTGCTTGAATTTGCAGTGACTCATACTATACTTATCTGGAAGTAAAATCCGCCATGCTTCTCGGTCGTCACGTGGAAGCAAAAGCATACCTTCACAGATGCATCAGCAGCGATCAGGTTCTGCCTGAGGGAAATGAAATTGTTTTTGGCTACATCGCGAACAATATCCTCATATTCAACGAAGGTTTGTACAGTACACAAAAGAAATGTGTCACTTTTCTCGGTTTTTGTCAAACGAAACTCTTCACAAATTGAAGGCACGACTGAGGAGCATTTGACAGTTTATGAAAACGGTGTTTTGCGTGACGAAAGTGCGTCGAACGGATTGGTGTCAATCGGAGAATCACTTGAATTGTGGCCTAATGGATCAGCGATTATTCAAACCGGAGTTTTCGACTCTGGCACTTGGGCTCCGATTTCCAGCAGCACATACGAATGCATTTTGGCAGATTCTCTGCAATTTTCTAACGTCCGACGTGAGCAAAGCATCATCCTTATTCATTATTTAAACATTTTTCTCACACTTTATAGAGACGCTGGCGTCTTATAGTCTGCTGATGCTCACGTTCAAACAGTCTTAGTTTTCAGGGTGAAAACCAACGTTTGGGTTGATATGCAAGTTGAATACATGTGAAAAATTTATCTGACAGATTTCTAACGCTGATTATAGATTTTCAATAATAATACTTGAAGTTCTATCTTCAAGAATGCCAATATAAAAGTACCCTTGGAAACCATCATTATTAATTCGCCGAAAATGTACTGTATTAATAATATTTGGCAGTGAAATTGAACTCGGAAAACATCGAGAAAAATATTTTTGAAGGGATAAATTTATGAAAAACAAACCACTGCTGACTTTGGGAAAAATCTTTTTTATCTCAAAGTTTAAAAAAAGATAGAGCAATTTTATTGAAAGTTCGCCGATGTCTTGCTATTGCTAACTATTTAACTATTTTTCTAGAAAACATTGCCTCATCTGTATCCATTTCTGAATTATCTCAAACATATGAAATTAACATCTTTAAAAAATGCATATGAAATCTTCAATATGATGTAGCCTATTCATAATTTTTTTAATGAATTAGGCGAAAGAGCGGGAACTTACGTTAATTACAATGACATCAAGGAGTCGACGCTTCAAGGACACGAGATGGAAGTCGTTATTTTCAAAGATTACTGTCAAACAGTGACTGGACCGATCCCAGCAGAATTAACCGTGAGTAGTAACGTTAGATTTTTCACTTTTAATTTGCATTGACATTATTGATTGTTTTATTCGGGGAATAAAAAAATATGATTAAAAAATAAAATACAGTAACCCGGGGGAATCGAGCTGATTAACCTCACATTTTTAACATGACACGGTATATTCTTCGGTTTGTAAACGTTTGCTTAAAAATTCTTGAAGTGCTGATGATTGTAAAACTCTCTGAATCGAAGGGTTTATATAATTTCCATGCAGAATCCCACCGAAAAAATTAGGGTTATCAATGGTTCAAAATTCCTTGATGGATTCTTCTGTAAGATTGACGATGCTGACCTTGAACTGTTGAGCTTCGGAATTTATTTTCCTCGCGTTAATTTCAGCTGGGTTCAAATTGTTGTCGTTAAAATGTTGTGACCCTTCGAAAAATCATTTATGCCCGAAAAATTTCGAAATAAACTTGTGACATTGAATCACTTCTGGACGAACATTTCATGTAATTTGTTTCGTGGATTAAAATAGGGAAAAAATGTTTCATTATATTGTACTGTATAGGAAAAGGGTCTTTCAATTTGCGGCACTCCTTATTTGCTCTGCGAATGATAAAGAAAAAGGAACCTTGTTCTGTGATTTGCCCTTTTAAATGAAAATGAAAATGCGGCTTATGATGTTCACATTTTTAAATGGATATTTATTCTCATAGATTGGGGTTCGGCGATTCGACAGCTTCCAACTGTTCCAAGCCGATTCCACTTGGGGTCCATTGGAGCACATTGCTTTCTCAAGTCACTTCACTGATGGTAGCTCATTTGTCATCAATATTTATCCTTCATTAAAATGACTTTTTCATTCATGCTTTCCTTTTCAATTTTCGTACAGCAACTGGATTGAGTTACATCGAAGTTGTTAGAGTTTACGAAGACGACAAAGTGCAAGTTCACTACGAAATCGTCGACAGTCCGAACGGCGATTGGCAAACCGGAGAATTGCTGTGCCCTTTGTCGACTTCCGCGGTTTTCCACGCTTCCTCCAGGGAAAGGTTAGGATGAGAAACTGCTTTGCTTCATCATTCAATTAAAAATTATTTTAATACTGGGTAATTGTATTGTGATGTTATAGACGTCCTGCACAAAGCTACGCTGATATCGTCGACCGCGTAATGACAGAAGGATCAGTATTCGAAGTGGAAGTTGACTTGAGCGGCTGCGAAGTGCCCATGGATTTCGGTTTGACAGT